AAAAAAAAAAAAAAAAGACGAGCTAAACATTTTTTCTGCCTTGTCTTGTTTGCTCTTTGTGATTCCTGCCTCCAAGAGGTTCAATCTCCTGCCCATTATCACTGCTAGGAAATAGTACAGCCAAGCTGAGAGTCAGGAAGTCTGACTCAGAGCTCACACTCTTAAGCACAGCATTACAGAGTTTCCTACGTTTTAAAGCTTGCAAATACAAATATGATATTAACAAGTCACAAAAGGATATGGTAAATATTAGTAGTTATGAGCTCAAACTCTGGCATCAGATTGCCTGTGGTTTGGACTGTCTAGCTTGTGATGCTGGACAAATTCCTTAACCTCTCTGTGTTCAGTGCCCTTAATTGTAAAATGGGAGGAATCATTGTGGCCATCTTGGCATTGTGGTGAGGATCAAATAAGTGTGTCTAAAGTGCTTGGGACAGTGCCTAGGTACATAAGCATGTAATAACTTTTTTATTCTTCCCATTATTATTATTAGAGGCTCAAGCCTATAAAGTTACCAGAAGTGCTCACATATGTTTAAAAGAGTAAAGGAAACAAATGAGTATATTCTTTGCTCAGTCAAGGAGAGTATCTTAAATCCTAAAGCAGTGGTTTTCAACCAGGAGTAATCCTGCTCCATTCTGCAGGGACATATGTCACTATGTGGAGCCACTTTTTGATTGTCATATCTAATGGGTAGAGACCAGGGATGCTGCTAAATGCCCAACAATGAAGAGGACAGCACCCCACCCCACCCCAAACACACACACACACACACACACACACACACACACACACACCAAAGATCTACCTGGCCTAGAATGTCAATAGTGCCAAAGTTGAAAAACCCTGCCCTAAAGAAATACTTACATTGCTTCCTAAACTATCAATTTGTCACTTAAGGGTAAAACCTGGAGCTGTTGTTATTTTAAATAGGTAACCTTAGGGCCAACTAGACTCAAGCCATAAGGAAGAATCTGGAAGTGTATGCCATATACACTCAACAGAACAGAATTGCATAATAAAATGTCTCTCCATTATTATTTCTTGGTATTTCTCTGACATCGGTCTGAAACTCTGAAGTCATCCCTTAATGACTCCCTTAATCCCTTAATGACTCTCCAAGAGAGTCAAAAGCCTGGAATAACACAACCTCAACACTTTGGCTCTGGCTAGCTGCACTCCTCAGTCCGTATTCCAGCAAAGTTGCTCTACCTTCCATACCCAGACCTCCTCTGCAGGTGCTAGTTTTGCAAAATTCCTTCTGGAAGAAAATGTACCTATTTCTCAGGTATGTTAGAACCTTCAAGACACCTCTTGACTGCAGTTCTTTCTACCTACTTCATTGTTTGGAAATATTTGTTCATTCATTCAAAAAATATTTTTCAACACCTACCATGCACCAGGCTCTCTTCTAGCTCAGGAGTAAAACAGACAAAAGCCCTACCCTAAGAAATTACATTTGGCCACCGGGGGCGGGGTGGGGGGTGGCGGTGGTGGCAGTGGAGCCTAGGAGCGTGGAGGGGAGAGGAACAAACGGATAAAATGCTGGATGCGGTAAGCGCAATGAAGAAAGTGAACTGAAGTTGCCTGGTTGCCTGGGTGGGGGGCCCATTCGCTGGAGCAGTCAGAGAAGGCCTCGTAGCAGCCGCAGTGCCCTTCCTTCACAAGCATTACGGGAGGGAACCGGCTCGCCAGAGGCAAGGTTCAGTTTACCGCGAGATGTCCTGGAAGTTTCCGGCACAGACACCGCTACGAACAAGCCGTGCAGTTCAGGACCGCCTGCTAAAGAACCCGCCCTCTGCTAACCACTTACCGACTCTGCCTCAGAAGAAAGGGACACAAGGAGCGCCTCTGAAACCCGAGCAGGGCGCCCCAGATTTTGAGCACCCCGCTCGCCTCTGTGGCTCTGGCTTTCAGCTTCTCACCTGATGCCTTTGGCCCGGAGGACAAGGCGCGTCCTGTGCGCAAAGGGGCAGAACCTCATACTGTAGACGCGGATCAGGCCCTCTGGGACGGGCCCCGGGGGGCAGCTTCCTGCGGGGGGTGGGAGGGATCGAGGGACCGGTGAACCTACGGGGAGGTGGGCTCACTCACCTCCCGGGGATCCCAAGAGAACTGCTCGCACCCCGCCTCCCGAGTCCCAGAGAGGACACATTTCATTCGGCTTTTGTGCAGAGAAACCCCTCAAGTCCCTCCCCGCCGCGCTGGGGGCCATGGCCCGACAGCCCCATCTCCCAGAGCCAACATCCCCAGCCACGCGGAGCCCCCAGTCCGGGGACAGCTGTCGAGGGGGCTCACCTTTCCCAAAGGTCCTGGTCGCATCCTCCATGGTCTCCCGGCGTCTGCGCGGCGTGTTACCCTCGCCGCGGCCGCAGGCTCTAGGGACAGCTTCGCTCCAGCCTGCCCCTCCTAGCCCCAAATTCAATTTTTGAGTAACTGAGGTCGGGGTTGAAGGGGAGGCGGCGAGGGGACAGAAGGGAAGTGATCTGGGACGGGAGCTAGGACAACTTAACCGAAAGAGACATCTGCCCAGATCTGGAAGCCCAAAAGGCAGAGCGAGCAAGAGAACCCTGAAAAGAACCCCTTGCCTTACACGTGGTAGAGCATTCAGGGTGGGTCTCTCCTCCAGATCCAAAGTCCCTGAAGATTGGGCATTTAAACTCCAGCTTGTATTTCAAGGGAGTTCAGTAAAACTTGACCAGAGTAATGATACGTTTTCTTTCCCATCCTAAACCCTCCCTCCTGCATCTCTAAGACAATTGGACACAACCTCCCTATAATGAATAAGATTTGTTTGTTTTAAGTGAAGCCAGACTTCCTCTGGATATAGCAGATAAGGATGAAAACTTGTTAGTGTTGAAATCTTGCATGACCAGGAGAGTGAGTGCCTCCTTAAATTTTTTGCGGAACGAGGCCCCTCACTTGCTTCACCTTATTCTCGCCCTATTTGTGACATTTTATCCCAGCTACAGAAAACTAGTGATGAATAGGAACATTCTTTACCTAGAGGCAAGGACAAATTTGTAAATTCTTGCCACTCCCAGCACTCATTTCAGAGAAAACTCGAATTGCCAAGGAAAACATGGCCAACAACCCAGCAATACAGGGACCACTTGGATAGCTCTTCCGTCTACCTTACATAATGGAGGTAGCTGATCTTTGTTCTGACTCTGATAGGCTGAGATCATGAAATTTAGCAGGTGGTAAAATAATTCCTTTAACTTTACAGGACTTGGTTGAAATGGGAATTGCTTGTCAATGGATTGTATAAGATTGACAGGTAAAGAAGGAAAGAAAAGTATGATCTGTCTCACTCATACCAACTAATTTCCATTGACTACCTTGTTTGATTCCCATGACTACTCAGTTAGGCAGCTAGTATTATTCCTATCTTGCAAAACAGAAAAGAGCCTCGGAAAAATGAAATTACTTGCCCAACGTGACCAGTGAGTGGGGTTGAAGAACTTTAAAAGTTCAAAGCCTGACTTTATTGTCTTGGCCTCTAAAGTTGGTTAAGAGGGTAGGAATTTTAAGTCCATTCTTATAAGTATTGATTATGTGTGAGATATAACACATAACAGCTGCTCAGATGTCCACTAAATTTAAATATCTTTATTAAAATGGCAGAACCTAATTATGTAACTTATGAATGGGTATCTTTTGGCCTTTGGAATTTCAATCTATCCAGAAATCATTGGTTAATAGGTTGTTTTTTTTTTTCCACTGAATAAGAATCTTTAAAAATCTTCAGGATAGTGACTCGGTTACTACATTTTTTGCTAAGTCATTCAGAGTGAATTCATGTGGTTTTGAGTAGTTGTCGCTTTATAAGAATTGGAGAGTGGCAAAAATGTTTGAATAAGTGTTCTCTGGAAAGAAAATATTATATGTCAGTAGGACATCTGGTATTGCAAAAGGTAAACTGACTTGCCATGCTAACAATTTTGCATTTTGGAAGACGGATAAAGTAATAGGATAACTACTATTCTGGAGCTAATTTTGACCAAGAACAACAAATTAGTGGAGCGCCTGGCTGGTTCAGTTGGTAGAGTGTGCGACTCTTGATCTGGGGGTTGTGAGTTTGAGCCCGACTCTGGGTGTAGAGATTACTAAAATATTTTTTTAAAGGGGGGTTGGGGAAAGAACAAATTGGATGGTAAGATGAAAGCAATGAATATAGCCATATCACGTGAGAGCTTCTTGGTAGACAAGGAAGTGACTCCTCGGCAGACCAATGTATCCTCACATAAGAAAAGCAGATTCAAAGAGTTGGAAGAAAACATATCCAGATTTTAAAGGGGGGGGGGCATAAGAGGAATGTGAAATTATTACTAACACATATTTGGTGCTTTATGTGTATTCAATCATTTAATCCTTAAAATAGTTCTATAAGAATTCTATAATTTTAGTTTAAAAGAACCAAGCTGATGCTAGCAAGGTGAAGTCACTTGTCAAAAGCCTCACAACTAATAAGAGGTGGAGGGAGGATTCTGAAGCCTGGAAGTTCAACTCCTTGGCAGCAATCCAACCAGAATCTTATTCTATCCCAGAGTTGGGCAAACTTTTCTATAAAAGTTGAGATAATAAATACTTTAGGCTCTTCCAGCCAGCTTGTCTCAACTACTCTCTACATTTTAGGGTGAAAACAGCCAGAAATAATATACAAATGAATGGGTGTGGCTGTGTTTCAATAAAACATTGTGAATGCTGAATTTAAATTATATATATATTTTAACGATTTTATTTTTAGAGTAGTTTTCGATTCACAACAAAATTGAGAAGATACGATTTCCCATATACTCACTACCCCTACACATACACAGACTCCTCCACCATCAACATCCCCCATCAGAGGTACAGTTTTATAATCGATGACCCTGCATTGACACATCATTGTCCAATGCCCACAGTTTTCATTAGGGCTCACTTTTGGTGAATTTCATATAGTTTTCATGTGGCACAAATTATGATTATTCTCTTGATTTTTTTTTCAACCATTTACAAATGTAAAAACCAGGGTGCCTGGGTCACTCAGTTGGTTAAGCATTCACTCTTGGTTTGGGCTCAGGTCATGATCTCACGGTTCATGAGATGGAACCCTGCATTGGGCTCCGGGCAGACAGCACGGAGCCTGCTTGGGATTCTCTCTCCCTCTGCCTCTCTCTCTCTGACCCTCCCCTGCTTGTGCTCTCTCTCTCCCTCAAAATAAATGAATAAACTTGAAAAAAAAAAAAAAAAAGAAGTAAAAATGTAAAAACCATTCTTAGGTCTTGGACTGTAAAAAATCCAGCAGTGGAGGGGCACCTGGCTGTTTTAGTCAGTTAAGTCTTCGACTTTGGCTCAGGTCATGATCTCATGGTTTGTGGGTTCGAGCCCCGCCTCCGGCTCTGTGCTGACAGAAGCCTGGAGCCTGCTTCTGAGTCTGGGTCTCCCTCTCTCTCTCCCTCTCTCTCTCTCTCTCTCTCAAGAACAAATAAACATTAAAAACCAGCACTGGACTGGATTTGACCTGTTGGCCTTAGTTTGCCCATCCCTGCTCTATACTGACAATGACTGAATTAACAATAGACAAATTGGGAATTACATTAGCAAAGTAAAAGGTTCCTGAATCATCTTATTACTATGCCAGAAGAGAATGTATTTCCAACTTTTTTCTCTCATCCCCACTCATCAGGAAAATCAACTCTAAGAGTTGGAAGATATTATTTATTAAAAGTATACCTGTGTGTTGGAAGCCACATTCTAAAATGGGAGTGTAGTTGGTGAAGTTAGAAAAGATAGAATGATGGAAACATTTCTTTCTCCGAAAAGAAGTAATATATTGTCAAGATTCTTACTTGGCACTATATTTAAACCCTGGCTTTGGCTCTTGGGCAAGGTATCTAACCTCTTGGACCTTCATCTTCATCATCTGTAAAAAAAGAACACTAATCGTAGCTACTTGATAGGTTTTGAATATTGAATGAAATCGTGCACATCCTCAGTATAGCAAGAGCTCAGTGTGTTTGGAAATTAATGACTAATATTAGTGAATAAGAACACATGTCTAATAGCACAGTGCACTCCAATTTTGTATCTATAAAGATGAAATGTACTGCAATTCTGCTTTGCCAGGCACATTAGAATTAAAATTCAACTCAAAATACTTATTTCACCAGCTACCAATTTAATGCCAGTTGAACGGGTTGCAGGCTGCAGGCTACATTTCAGTAGTGTGGTTCTTAATCTTACCACTGAATGCTATGGTTTCCCTAGAAAGATTTTAATTATGACCTTTAAGCTTATCCCTACTTCCTTTCTAAGAACCAATATGTACCTCTTTGAAATCCTCTTTGCAAACGTTATTCTTATGTTATTATATCATGTTTATACCACTATTATACTGATTCACTCAAGCAAGAAACAAATAGTAATAGGGCTATATGAAACCTACTCTAAATCATTTCTAGCTATCTGAAACAGAACCGGATCAGTTTTGAAACTGGGGAACTTCAGTCATGGGTGATAATTATTCAAGCTTTCTAGGAAAAGAATGCCACCAGAGAAATAATTTCTTTAACTACACATGTCTCTGTTTTGAGAAACGGAGAGAAAGCAGAGTTTGCATTTTGCAGTTAAAAAACTTATTTATTTTTTTTTTGTTACACCAATCTCTGACAGTGGCAGAAACTGGAGGACATTTCAGAAGCCTAATTTACATGAAAAATTATGTTACCGGGTGTTCAAAACTTGTTCGCCAAGTTCAAAGAATGAGATAAGTAAGGGGAAAATCTCTATTTTCCCAGGACTGTTTCCAGCAAGTTGGGCTCATAGGGAATCCTGTGTTCTAATGCCTTTGGGACTTTTTTGTTTCAGTTTTATTGAGACATAATTGACATACAGCTCTGTATGAGTCTAAGATACAAAGTATAATGACTTATATAAATTGTATAATGATTACCTCAATGAGTTTAGTTACCATCCATCTCCTCATACAGTTTAAAAAAAAAAAATCTCCCCACGAGATCTTTTAGGATCTACTTTCTTAGCAACTTTCAAATATACCATACAGCGGTGTTACATATAGTCATCTTGTTGTACATTACATCCCCAGGACTTACCTATAACTGAAAGTATGTAACTTTCCACCACTTTATTTTAATCCCAATGCCCTCCTGAACTACACACACACACACACACACACACACACACACACACACACACACCCCAATCTGGGACACATCAAATAAGATTACTAAAGTTACCAGAGGAAGAACTTCATCATCCCACTATGGAATCCTGAGTCAAAGGAGAATTCCTTCCTAAGTACTGGATTCCACTTTCCTATTCCTATTTCTCCTTACAGCTTGGGGGATCAAAGAAAAAAAAATTAAACATTTTAATATGTTATCATTTGAAAGAGCAAAGGCAGATTTTCAAGATCCTGAAATTAGCCAAAGTCAAATATTTGTAAAATTTAACAGAACACACTAAATTTGAAAAAGGAACATCAACACTTCCTGTTAAATCCCAGACATAATAGTGGTGTGTCCAAAAGGTGGATACTATCCTCTCCTGGCTCAGCCTCTAAATGCTAGTGAATAGAGACTGGGGCAGAAGCAAATGTATGATCTTATCTCAAGAATGCTCTGAACGGCTGTAAGAGTTCAGGCTGGATTTAAATCACCTCTTTAGCATTTACTAGCTTGGTGACCTTGGGAAACACACAACTTTCTATGCCCCAATGTTCCCCCTCCCATAATTTAGAGCCAATAGTACCAACACATTCTGTAGCTTGGGGAGGATTAATTCAGATACTGGTTAAGAGACATTTAATACCTAGCAAGCACTCAACATTAGCTATTATTTTTATTAGTATTTGAACGTAGCAGGGGAGTCCCATAAATCCTCAAAACGTGAAGACTTTCGCGGGGACCAAATTTGCCTGCAGCCAATGCCCTGTAATGTAGCTAACCTAGTGGTGCCGGATGCAAGCCTGAGAATTCCTGATCTTCGGTCGTCTTTACCTACTCCAGCCAAACCAGAAAAATAAGAATAATTTAATGAGGTTTTTTTTCTTTAAGTTAAAGGGATTCGCTTTAAAGACCTGTTCTTTAAATTATAGAGCTTGTGCTTTTCTTGATGTTAAAATCTTTGATGAAACTTTGATGAAGATAAGTCGTTGGGTTTTCCTTTTAAAAGTGTTAGGCAAACCCGAAATTCGTGAAAAATCCAAAATCCATTATTGACCTCAAACCCCTCTCCCTTCCAATGCACCACAGACCGGACAGACCCACCCGGGGGAGGTAACAAGAGAAAGACACACCGAAGTGACCCACGCGCGCCCGGCGGACAGAATCGGAAGTAGAGCGGAGCCAGCAGTAGCTGGCAGTAGCAGCGGAGGGAGGTGGGGCCCAGGCGGAACCCGCCCCTTAGAACGCGATCCTACCCGCCGACTGGCCGCGGCGCCTGGAACTCCAGCCAATCTTTAAAGCCTTTGAGAGCCCTACGGCCAAGCAGTGCGGAGCTGAGCCAATGGGCGGCCGCGTTACAGGCTCCTGGATACCGAAGTCGGGAGTGCTTGCGGTGTCGTAGCTGGCAAAAGTAGAAGCCAGGTCGTGGCTGGCAATGGCAGCTCAGCGCCCCGGTCTACATCCGACTGAAGTGCCCGCAGCCGACCGGGGCCTGGAGGGTGGGGCAGGCGGACGGCGGCAGAGATGAGTCCACCCGGAGCTTGGGCGTGGGTGGCGGCCGAGGGTTTGCGGCCAGAGGCCTTTTGTGAAGTCAATCGGTTCTCACGGCTTCTCAGGGTGCGGTCCTTGGATCGCCTGCATCACCATGGGGTGGGGGTGGGGGAGAGCTCATTTCAAATGTGGACTTTGCAGCCCACCCTGGACCCACCGAATCGGAAATCCAGCGGTGAGCCTTAGGTGATTGTTATGCGCTCTTACGTTTAAGAATATGTACCGGAAACCAGACTGTAATGGGGTGGGTCGACAGCTCACTGATATTCACAGTGTGTTGGCTGTGTTCTCGATCTTTCTGCCAGCATCTTAAGGACTCATTTAGCCTCGGGATCTTAGTAAAACCATCTGTAGAATGAAATGATGCTCTTTGACCTAAGTTCTTCTTTTTTTTTTTATTTCTTTAAATTTTTATTTTTTTAACATTTGTTCATTTTTGAGAGGCACAGAGACACAGAGCATGAGCAGGGGAGGGGCGGAGAGAGAGGGAGACACAGAATCTGAAGCAGGCTCCATGCTCTGAGCTGTCAGCACAGAGCCCGAAGCGGGGCTTGCACTCAAGAGCAGAGAGATAATGACCTGAGCCCAAGTTGGACCCTTAACCAACAGAGGCACCCAGGTGCCCCTGACCTACTTTCTTCTAATGGAAGTAATGTGATGATAAAAATTAAATAGAAGCTCGGTGGGCTATGGAAGATAGCATTAATATTTCTGAATTACTCATCCAGACTTACATCGGAATTGATAGATGTGGTCTCCACATTATTTAAAAAAAAATTTTTTTTTTAATGTTTATCTTTGGAAGGGGGTAGGGCAGAGAGAGAAGGAGACACAGAATCCAAAGCAGGCTCCAGGCTCTGAGCTGTCAGCACAGAGCCCAACGCAGGGCTTGAACTCCTGAGATAGTGACTTGAGCTGAAGTCAGAAGCTTAACTGACTGAGCCACCCAGGCGCCCCTTCACAGTATTTAGTTACATTTATGGGATACCTGCCATGTGCCCAGCATGGGAGTTGGTACGAAGAATTTGAAGGGCATTGAGATTGAAGACGGGGAAACCAAATAGGAGGACACTTAGTCACCTAACTTTGAGGTGTTATTAGTCTGGTCTTAAGTGGTGACAATGGGAATAAAAAAGGTAGTGAAATTAAGTTGATGGAAAGAAAAGAATGAGGAATTGAAAACTTGAGAAGGCAGCTGTAGAAACAACAGAGTATCCAAGTGGAAATGTCCTATGGGCAGGAAGAAATCTAGATTGAAGTCCAGTTCTCACCAGAGATGATGATTTAGAGATTTTCAGCAGAAACTATGATAAAACCCTTAGAAGCATGTGAGCTTACATTTCTGTAGGAAGGCCTTAAGGGCCTTAAGCCACGATGTCAAATCAGAGAAGGTGATCCAATGAGACATGAGAGCATTTGGTAAAATGAAAGCATGTTTTCCTCATATTCGTGAAGGAAAATATCAGACATCTCTTCATGGCTGACTCCTGCCCCCATCAGAGCCCATAATCACAGGCCTCAGGGCTGTTCTGCAAGTAGAGATCTAAGAAACCTCGAAAGGCCTTCGCCTCAATGAGGAGGGAGGACACTGCAGGATCTTCCCTCATGGCTGCCATCCAGAGCTTAAGTTTTGGAGTGTGATCTACACACCTGTGGGAAGGGAAAAGAATGAACGTGTGAGCTAGATGAACTAGGAAGGCATTGCAAAGTCTCCTATACCATTATCACTCTACAGTTTCCTTTTGTTTTCCTCTAATCTTTTAAAATATTTCTTTACAATGTACATAATCAGAATATTAGATTTGGAAGATATTTTAGAGGTCTTTGTTTTGTGGAAGAGGAATCCTAGAGTCAAGTGACTTGCTCAGTTAGCACAAGAATGCATCCAGGCAGACTGATAACTTTGTTAAAATGAGAACATGAAAGACAGCCATGGATGTTATATAGTTATTATTCTATAGCAAGACTGACTAAAAGTAACCCTGAATAGCTCTAAGAATTGGGAGTAAGCCAAGGTGGCTGCCTAACTTCAAAACATGGAGTTTGGAAACTAGTGTGGGGATCCTGCTGGAAAATGGGAGGGAGCATTGGTCATACAATCCCACATGATAAAGCTTATAAAAATGCACTTACTTACGGATTTTTAGCCAGAAGGGAAGGAGTAAATTATTTTTAAAACATTTTGTTACATGTTGTAGTACTCTCTGCCCACCCCTGCACCGCACACTTCCAGGAATGGAGAACGGGGGTGAGTATATGCCCTGGATAGTCCAAGACACTCCTCCTGTCTGCTTGTGCCCATTCATACCAGTTGTATAAAACAGTTTCATTTTTGTTCAGGAAAAAAGGTCAACATATAATATGCCAGTCATCATTATCCTAAATTATGTACAAAATACTCAAATGTCTTACTCATTTAACTCCAGAACTTCGAGCCGTTCAAACCAGGGCCAGATGAGGTAATCAATCATAGAAAGAGAATTGCCACCAAAGAAGGTTGTCTTCTTATTGGTCAGAACCTGAATGTTAAACAGCATGAGAGTACTGCTTAAGTGTGCATTTCGTAAGATTCATCATCAGATATTAGGAAGACCAGGTAAGTAGAGCCAAGTGAGAGAAGTAGCTTTTATGCCGACATATTCAAGTTGGCTTTTTGTTTGAACTTTAGAATCTCCTGGTTTGGGATGAAGCAAACAATCAACAAAATAAACTGGAAAGTAGAGAAAAATAAAACAAGCCACAGACTACAAGATGTTTGTAATACACACACCCAACAGAGGACTGGCATTTAGAATATAGAGAGAAATCCAACACCCCTGGGGAATCAATAAGAAAAAAAGGCAAACAACTCATTAGAAATTTGGGCCAGACTTGAACTTCATAAAAGAGGATATCTCTATGACCAAAAACCATTTGAAAAGATATTCAACTGCATTAGTCATCAGGGAAATGCAAATTAGGGCCAGAATGTAATACTACCACACATCCATCAGAATGGCTAAAATGAACAAGACAAAGTTAGCAAGCATGCAGAACCACTGCTGGCAGGAGCAAAAACTGGCACAACCATGTTTTCACAGTATGTACTAAAGCTGCCTGAATGTTCATACACTCCAACCCCGTGATTCTCCTCTTTGGAAATGTGAACATCCATTCACCAAAAGATAGATATGAGAATGTTAATTGCAGCACTATTTGTAATAGCCCCAAGATAGAACTGTTCACTGTCCATCAGTAGTAAAACGGATAAACAAACTGCTATAGTCATAGGTTGAAACACTATACAAAGAACAGGAATGAACCATACACAATATAGATGAATCTCACAAACCTAATGTATGAAAGAAGCCAGACTCCGAAGAGTACGTATCCTAGGATTCCATATGTATAAAGAGCAAAAACAGCCAAAACTAATACTGTTTCTTGTTATGGGTGCTAATTCCATGACTATGTTTACTTTGTAAAAATTCATCAAGCTGTACTCATGCTTTGGGTACTTCTCTGCATGTAATACTTCAATTAAAATTTTACCTAAAATATGCTGGAAATAACTGGATTAACTATTTTTTTAAAGGTTTTTTTTTGTTTTTTTTTTTACATTTATTTATTTTTGAGAAACAGACAAAGCATGAGCGGGGGAGGGGCAGAGAGAGAAGGAGACACAGAATTGGAAGCAGGCTCCAGGCTCTGAGCAAGTGGTCAGCACAGAGCCTGATGCGGGGCTGGAAGCCACAAACTGTGAGATCATGACCTGAGCTGAAGTCAGATGCTCAACCGACTGAGCCACCCAGGCGCCCCTGGATTAACTATTAAACTGATGTCAAAATTAGTTGAAGGCCAAAACAAGTCGTATGTTCCTGAAATTCAAGAACGTGCCTTGGTATTAATGGTTTTGCCAAAGTAAAGAAACTGAGAATATTATCTGCCTAATAAACAAACCAACTTACCGTTTATAAAACTTCTGCAATTTTCCTCAGGGCCCATATAACAGTCTGCATTATAGATTGATGGCATATATCAACCATCTACTACCAAACTAAATATCTGAAGAGTATAGACAACGTCTTACTTTCTACCTCCCATACTTTCTAGCAGAGTACCTTGTAGTTATTAGGCACTCAGAATTGTACAATGAATCGATATTAACTGGGTCTGTCCTTAAACTATAGTGTCTGGTTATTATATTCTGCATAAATAAAATTTAGTATGACAGTTTAAGTCAGAAGGAAATAACCCTCTCAGCAACCTAAAGCATGGAAATGATACTACTCACTTTGAAGCATGAGTTCTTAATCTGGAGTCTGAACTTAGATGAGAAAAAAGTACATACCTTCTCCCAACTCCACTAACCCCACAGTTAGCAGGTATTTCCATTATGAAATAAACCACAGTAGAGTTAATCTTACATATTTTAATTTAAGCATTTATAAACATGGGCTTTACCAGGTTGCCAAACACAAAAGTCTTAATCTTCAAAGAAACAACATCCCACATGCATTCTCTGACCATAATGTAATTAAATTAGAAAACAGCAAAAGATGTAGTTTAGGAAACTTACAAGTACATGATCAATAATTGGTAGGCAATGAGAAAATCATGGAAACAGCAAAAAAAAAAAAAAAATTTAGAACTGAACAATGAAAGTCCTTCACAGTAAAACATACTGGATGCAGCTACAATGTTTAGAAGTAGTGTGTTAGTCATTAATGCATTAAACAATCAAGAAAGACTGAAAATAAATGCATTGAGCTACTGAACTCCTGGGCTAGTTAGTAAAAGCAGAAACAGCCAAACCCTATCAAATGGTTTCTGAGATTAGAAATACAGGGAAAGTAACCCAACTCATTTTATCAGGTTAGAATATCCTTGATATAAAAAATAAGGACACTATGAAAACAAAATAATAGCCCAATCTCATTAATATACAACACCTTTAAGTATTCACTAGTTCTATAGTATATAGAAAAATCCATTGAAAACAATGTTAGGATGGTTTCACACCAGAAAAATCTGTCAATAACACCATATTTATCAGATTAAGGTAAAAAATTCTATGAACATATCAATAGATGTAATAGATATAGACAAAACATTCAGTAAAATCTAACACTCATGCATGACTTTTTGTATTTTACAGACTAGAAACATTTTTCTTAAAAAAGTTAAGAAAGTCTATAGCAAACTTCAAACTGACAAAATATAGGATACATTCCCATACAAGACAGGAACTATGTCTAGTAAAAACCCAAGGCTGAGCAAGAAAATGGAGTGTTTCAAGGCCAAGGGAAAGACTTGATCTAAAGGCCCAAATGGCAGCTTTGCCCCAAGGGAGGTAAAAACTCAGCCGGGCTTCTCCAAGTGTCTTTACGATTCATGGCAAACTCTGTGGTGGGAAATGTTTATTATGTATTATTAAGTGGAAAAAACACAGAATAATATCTATGCCCTGATTAGTTATGTTAACCTTTCTTTCCTTTCTTTCTTTTTGTTGTTTTTTTGTTTTAATATATGGATGAGGACTAGAAACAGGCATGGAAAAATGAAAACAGGTGACAAATTGTGGAAATATCATTGCATTTCTCCCCCTTGTTAACATCAGTGCAACAAATTGTTTTAAAAGCAAGCCATGACAAAATATTTTTAGGTGTGTTGATTTCTATCTTAAATGCACCTGCTTATAGCAATCTGTTGTAACCTAAAATTCCTTAATTGATGTTATTACTAACTGTCACAAACTGATTTGGGAAACGGGAATAGAAAGAAAGAAGAGGGCAGGAACAGTGTATCATTTACTCTGATAAAAGCTAGGAGAAGAGATTACCTCCTCTAACTTGCTGAATTCTTTACGCAATTCTTCTTTTAGGCCAGAGCCGTCTTCGTTATTTTGTCTTCTAATGAAGCTTGTTACCAAAGGGGGAACCTAGACAGAGTAATTTCTTACTGTCAGTGTGAGACTAACTGTACCGGCCCCCTCACTGAACCCTCAGAGTCCCAGTTCAGGGTGTTTGAGAAACTTGAAAGGTGCACCCATTCCTGTGTTCACAGAGGTCAGGTATCAATCTTAGAAAAATTTTGCGGTGAAAGGTGCTGTTTGGTCAGGATTTTATAAGTTGCAAATAGTAGAACCCACTTTGGCGAGTTTGAGCCAAAAATACCTTTTAAAAAGTATTGAGTAGCCCATTGAATTATTGAGAGGCTGAAAAAAAAAAAAGGCTGAGAACTAAGCTGGAACATTCCAAAATCATGCTCCGAGCTGACCTCATGGCAAGCACCCACTGCTGCCAGTGAGCTGAGCACTAGGTGCTGCGGTTTGTACCTTTGCCAGAAGTGGGACTCGGAGGTAACTAAAGCCCGGAATTTAATCTTGCAACCGCCACTGCTCCCGAAAGCCTGAGGCTCTGCGCCACCCTCCCACCCCCTCCCCTGCCATTCCCACCAGCAGAATCAGTGCCCCGCCCCAAGTCTGTCTCCCCACATTGCTCGTTTCTCATTTTTTTTACCTTTAAAAAAAAATTTTTTTTTAATGTTTATTTTTGAGAGAGAGCCAGAGATAGAGGCAGAGACGGAGACACAGAATCCAAAGCAGGCTCCAGGCCCTGAGCTCTCAGCACAGAGCCTGTTGGGGGGCTCCAACTCCTGAACTGTGAGATCATGACCTGAGCCCAAGTTGGAGGCTTACCTGACTGCGCCCCCCCGCCACCGCCTTTTTTAAAAATATGGAACGCTTCGCAAATTTGCATGTCATCCTGGTGCAGGGGATGGATGGTTCCAATTTTCATACACGCGCTGCTGAAGCAAGCGCCACATGGCTCATTTCTGAGCCCAGCTCCACCATGTGTGTTTCTGACAGGAAGAGCCTAGGTCCCAGGCATTGGCCCCAGCTGCAAAGGGAGCTGGGGAAGAGAATTTTTCTGCTTTCCACCTCGGGGAGGACATGAGAAGGGTGTTCGAAGGGGCTGACTACCTGAAGACTCACAGGCGTAGTGCCAGATGCTGTAGGGCTCCTGCTGGAGGCATTTGTGTGTTTTCTCACTGCAAGAGCTTGAAGTCCACTTGTCTCAGTTTATCAACAGGTGCTTGTAAAAATCCAGGAGAATGTCCTGATATCCTGTCCGTATCAGTACAGCTTGCCCTCTTTGGAACTGAAAGTTTGCTGGCAGCACTTCTGTACACAGTTCCATCTGGGCATGCCTGCTTTATCTATCCGTGCCTTGCCTTAAATGTCTGCTCCATATGGTTTCCTGTATATCAAGATATCAAGTCCCTTTGCAATGCTCTTAATTTCTGCTTCTTTAAAAAATGTATTTTTTACATGCCTCTGGTTTAAGCCTCCAATTATATAAACACACACACACACATATATATACACACACACACACATTTATACACACACACACACACATCTCTAAAGCTTCAACACCTTTACTGTTAATCTCTGTGTCTCAGTTTCAAGTTCTCAGGAAAGAAGATGATTGGCTACAGGTACAGGTGGGGGCATTTCTGGTTTGCTGAGAGCTGTGGCCAGGAGGGAGGGGGCATATGGTACCTAAGGCCACCTTTTCCCTGAATGTGAGCTGGGAAGTAATGATGAACATCTCCAGCTTTTAGCTTATTTCTTTCAAGACAATACAATGAATCTTTTTTTTTTTTTAAAGTAATCTCTACACCCAACATAGCGCTTGAACTCACAACCCTGAGGTCGAGTCTCATGCTCTACCAACTGAGCCAGTCAGATGCCTCTACAATGAATCTCTTGTTACTTTTTTTTTTTTGAATTCTCCAACATCTTTCTTCTAATTGCCATGTTCCCTGTCTATCACTTTTGACAGCAGGTATCTGCTATTTCCCTCTCCTTCTGCTAAGCCAGACAACTCCCTCTTCCTTCCCCATTGGCTTCCCTTTGCAATGTCTCCTTACATAATACATTCTCTCTGTAAGTTCCACCTTCGAGGTATTTCTTTAACCATTTAAAGAAGACAAGATATGCCGACATATATTCTGATAAATAACAGGGTTATAGAGATAACTTGACATAGCTATGCCTGTTGTCTACTATTGGGCATTTCTTTGTTAATATCAATTGTTTGAACTATCTACAACCTTGATGCTGACTAAAATAGTTCTTCTACAAGAATGTCATTTACTCAGCTAAGAGCTACTGCCAACACACAGTAGATGCCCGCTGCTAGACACTGTGGCTAGAACCACAAGAGCTAACACAGTATTTACCATGTGTCAGACTCTGCTCTAGGTGTTTTATATAAACTGATTTTTATCTGCAAGAAGGGAGCAGTTATTATACTAGTTATTATACGCCTTTTACAAGCGATGAGCTGAGGCACAGAAGTAAATGAGTAACTTTCTCAGAGTCACACAACTAGGAAGAGGCAGAGTGGGTCACAGACCTAGGCAGTGAGCCAACAGTGATGGGAACACGGCTTCACCTTCAAGGAGCTCACAGCCCTGGTGCAACACACAGGCAAGAAGGCAGGCAGTCACTGGCCCAGAGAAGTTAACACATGTGGGAACACAGCTGGCCACTAAGCCAGTGCGGACAACCTTCTGGAAGGCAGCAGAACCTGAGCAGATACATGAACGAGAACTTGGAGATAACCAGGCAAAGTGAGAAGGGGGAAGGAAGATTTAAGGAGGAGGTGGCAAGTCTGGGAAAGCTAAACATTCAGCGGCTGGAATACAGTGTCCAAAGAGTAAGGAGGGCTAACATTGGAGAGGCAAACAGGAACTGGATGGTGAAAGGACTTGCAGGACATGTCAGAGCAGATAAGAGCACTGCTTTCTTTTCCTTTCCCACATTCCTGAGTCATAAATGACAACACCGATTTAGCTTAAACAACAAAGTTTGTTCAAATAAGAGCTGAGATTTCTTATACACACACCTTAGAAAATAACTCAAAGACCATCTTTTGGCAAGCTTTCTCATAGGGGTCATCTGGCAACAGCTTCTTCCCTGGATATGCTTCATCCAGGTACTCACAAGTAATAGCAGATTCATAGATCAGTTGACCCTGACTGTTTTCCAGAACTGGCACCAGACCAAAGGGATTCTTCGTAAAGAACCACTCAGGCTTATTTTTCAGGTTGATGTTGATGATTTCATGCCTGAAAGACACACAGAAGACAATGAAGAGAGTGGAACTTTTTCTTTCTTTTTCTTTTTTTTCTTTTTCTTTTCTTTTTTTTTTTTTTTTTTTTTTTTTTTTTTTTTTTTGGTACTTCTGAGTAGATCCTTACCAGCCCTACCATCCACTTAGCTGATTGGACCCCAAATTTAGGAGTCGAATCAGTCTTGATTCCTTCTCCCTTGTTCCCTCTGTCTCAAGTCAAATAAATGGATGGATCATCAAGACCTGTCAGCTAGACCTCAAAATCATATCCACTTTTCAGCTATACTGCTACCATCTGGTCCAAAACATCATCTGCCAGCTGGACCACTATAGTAGTCTCCCACTGGCGGCTGCTTCCACTGTGCCCTCCCTACAGTCCATTTTCCACACACAAGTAAATTGAATCAGGCCACCCTCCTGCTTGCAACCCCTTGATTGCTCCTCATTGCAATGAGCATAAACTCTAAGCCCCTCTGTGGCATGTGATCTGGCCTGTTCTTACCTGTCACACCTGTTTCCTATAACTTTCCCTTTGGTCATTACAATCTGGGCACACTGGCCTTTTTTATATTCCTTGAATTTGCCAAACATGTTCTCACCTTAGAACATTAACATTTATTGTTCCTCTGCCTTCTCTGCCTGTCTTCTCAGGTCAAACACCATTCCAAGAGGCCCTCCCTGACCACCCTCTCTGAAGCTGCTGAGAGCCTCTATTAACATGATCATCTTGTTTTCCTGATGACATGTATCTGAAATTACTTTGCTCACTTATTTACATGTTTATTATGTCACCTCCCTAGAATGTAAGCTCCTTGAAAGCAGGGATTTTGTGTATCTAGTTCATATTAATAAACAAACATGTAAGTGAGCAAAATTTTAAACAGATTTAAATGCTGTGAAAATAAAAGTGGTTTCAGATAGGGTACTCAGTAAATATTTATTGAATGAATAAGTGGAAAATGCTTCAAGATGGTCAATAAGATAATCCACTTTGGGGTATAAGGTATCATTGCAAATTATAGGAGGTACATAATTGAATTGTATCCATTACAATTATGGATACAATACTTACACTTACAATACTTGTACTATATGAGAATCAACATGATAAAATTCAATTCCTCTTCCTAAATTGAGTAGAAAGGTCCTCATTTTTTAAAAAAATATTAAGGAATGCAAAAAATCCACCCACAAAACCAAGTTTCAGATTAAATGTCCATGCATTGTTGTTGTTGTTGTTTTTTTTTTTTAATGTTATGTGAGTAAGCTACGCTAAGCAAACCCAAAAGGAGGAAAACAAATGAAATCCAAGCTATATTCAGACTGTAATTAGATCTAACTTGTTTCTTGCCTGAGAGATTGTAGAGGAAATAAAAGAAAGGAAAGCTTCATATAATTGTTAAATCTGAGTAATCATTCAACAGAACAGGTTAGTTACTCAAAAATAATAACACACCAACACCTTTTGTTTCCTACTTCCCCATCCACCTCAGAAGTTAGAATAGTATTTAGTTTGAGGATTTAAACATGTAATCCCCCATGGAAACAGAAATGGCTACAATGAACCCTAGCATTTGTGTATCAAGAGGTTTGTGTGCGGACAGATTACTGGAACTCAGATACAAGCCATGGAAAGAAATACAAGGCCAGCTCCCTGCCAAGGAATTATCAACACTTCTGAAATTTTTATACCATGAAACAAAAGTTGTTTTATACCAACAACAACAATAACCACAACAACAAAATGGGGGGTTTTTTTGTGATAAAGAACACACTTAGAACACACTTGGATTTGTCAACCTGACATTATGAGCTAACAAGTCAACACATTGCCACGAGTTGGAAGATGCACTTTTTAGAGAAAACCATGCTTTGTCAGGTGATACCATATGAAAATGTAGCACCTGTCCAATAAAAGTCTTCTGGGTGTGAAACTGAAAACTGATTCAGAATGTAGAAGACCTCTGTTGTTTCCTGTTACCATTCTTCACCCCCATACACACACTATTTTGGTAAAATCAGTCCAGTTTTCCTTTGGAAAACTGTCCCAGTAAATAAGGTAGGTTGTTTTCAACCTAGTGTTCCAGCGGGGCACATAAACCAGGACTTTATGCCTCCCAATCCAGCTGTGCTTGCTCCTATCCTTTTATTTTTATTTTTATTTTTAATGTTTATTCATTTTTGACAGACAGAGACAGAGTGTGAGTGGGGAGGAGCAGAGAGAGAGAGGGAGACACAGGATCCAAAACAGGATCCAGGCACAGAGCCTGATGTGGGGCTTGAACTCACTGACTGCGAATCATGACCAGAGCTGAAGTCGGACACTTGACCGACTGAGCCACCCAGGAGCCCCGATACTTTCCAATTACATAAGCATAAGATACATCTTTTTTCAATCCAATTTGAATAAGATTAGGATAAAATACAAAGTTTGGAATGTTGAGCATTTTGCTATGTGTTCAGAATCAATTTCATCCAAATAAGATGCAAATTTTAGTGAAGTGATGGCTAATTCAAAAATATTTTTGGGGCGCCTGGGTGGCTCAGTTGGTTAGGCATCCCACTTCAGCTCAGGTCATGATCTCACCATTTGTGAGTTCAACCCCCACATCGGGCTCTGGGCTGACAGCTCAGAGCCTGGAGCCTGCTTCAGATTCTGTGTCTCCCTCTCTCTCTGCCCCTCCCCTGCTCACACACTGTCTGTCTCTCTCAAAAATAAACATTAAAGAAAAAATTAAAAGAAGAAACTATTTTTTTTCCTTCAGAAAAAGAATGCATCTTACATTCTTTTAGGTAAAATTATTGTCTGCCTAATTCTCCCCCTAGAAAACTAAAATTAGTTTATAAACCTTAAGCACATGGATGGAAAATTTCTTAAGAATGGGGGCTATGTTTTAAACTTCCACACCACAGGTATCTAATGTCTGCTCAACAAATTCCAAAGATCATTGGAAGGGAGGGGATTCCAATGGATATTTGGTATCAGGAGCCAACTGACTATCGCATACTCCCTATGCATAACCCATTGGTCAAAAAAACCATGCTAATTTCAAAGAGGCTTCGCAAAAGACTAAATTTTTAGGCATAGACACTTTGACTCAACCAACAACCCAACCTATAAGAATATGTCCAGTACAGTTAACTCAGCACTCTGCCAGGACGGTCAAGGCCTGGACTCTGTCCTGGGGTAAATTACCAACTATTAGGGAAGGGACTATATACTCAGAATAACAGCAAACAGTATTAGATAGCAGACATGAATGTAGAAGTGGGGTGAAAGCAAAAGGGCAGTGGACCAAGAATCGGGGATCTACCAGACCTAAAAGCGCTGCTGCAGGTCATTACCTGCCAAGTGATCTCCCGAATCACCAGCTTTACCAGAGCCTCAGCTTTTCTAATCCATAAAGTGGTTAGGTTGATCTAAACGGGGAGTCCTAGACTGGTGTAATCTGTGCCATTCCCCCTACCTCTCACCCTGGGAAGTGGGTTCATAATTTGCTCTGTCCCCCCAAAAGTCTGAGAATAGTTTATTTTGCAGGAAAGGAAGCCCTGGGGCCCAATCCGAGGTTCCCACCCGGCCGCCCCACAGCAGCTGGTTCCCGGTCGGCTGGGGGAACGGCCCCTGCCTGGGTCCTCACCCAATTCCCTTGGCCTTCAGGACCAGGAGCGTCCTCTGGGCGAACGGGCAGAACCTCATGCTGTAGACGCGGATCAGGCCCTGGGGGACCGGCCCCGGGGGCGCGCTTCCTGCGGGGGAGACGCGGCAGTGGTCACGGCCCCGAGAGCGGCCGGGACTCCCATCCTCCCGCGACCCCCGGGCCAGGCCGCGGAGAGGTCCCGCGCGCTGCGGCCCCGGCCCGATCCCCGCGTGTGGGGGACCCCCCCGGGTGGCTCCGGAACAGCCACACCGGACACGCGGCAGGGGGTGGCCGAGATTCCCCCCTCCTCCCGCGGCCGGCCGGCCTCACCCTTCGCTAGGCTCCTGGCTGACCCTCCGGACATCGCGGCGCAGGGCAGGCCAAGCTCGCGACCCAGGGTGTGCCGGCGGTTCAGGAAGTACGTCGCCCCTCCCTCGGTCCTTGCTCCCTTCTCTTCTCCTCTCTGAAGTGCCTGCCGGGGGCGGCCACCAGCTGGGCGGGGGCTGTGCTCTCCCGGCCCCGCGTGGCCCCGGGCGCTTAATGAAAGCTGGCGTGCGGCGTCCAGAATCCCCTTCCCACCCTCTGCAAGCGGGAACGCGCCGCCCCTGCCGCCAAGAGCCTGAAGGGAAATCGCAGCCGCGGACCCACCCAACGCGCCCACCTAGGCCTGGCCTTCCCGGTTTTGCAGAGCTAGCGCTAAAACACCGCAGCCGCTGGTCGTGCCCGAGTGTACTCGCTGGCCAAGAGAGGTACCCACGTCCAGAGCCACAGAAGAAGCTCGACACCCTCAGAGACATCCCCCCATCCAGAAGGATGGTGGTCTCCAGGCCGGCCTCCACGTATGTCCACGCCTAACCCTGACCTGACCTCCCACACCCCGCACCTGGGCGAGGAGGCACAACCGCTGCTCTCAGGTGACATGGGCCTGGGTGCAGATCCCCTTCCGTCCCCAAACTCCCCTGACTTGAGGGCTTGTGGGCCCCAGCCTCCAGCTTGCTCACAGTTCTGGGATGTATTCTGCAAAGATACCTGTCCACTGCCGGTGTCAGGTCGCCCAGCCATCTGTGCAGCCTTTTCCTTTCCTTGTCGGTACTTAATACAACTACTATTGCATAGCTTAATATGGCTACTAGGAGGGCCATTGTTCTTACTGTCACCTGTAGGACACATCCTTTTAATTTTAACCCAAAGGGAACAGCACAAATGTGGATAATACTAACCTCAGAATGCTGGTGCTGCTTTAAAAAACCTATTAAAGGTTTGGATTTTTTTTTTAAGTTTATTTATTTTGAGAGTGAGAGGGATAAGCTGGGGAGGGGCAGAGAGAGGAAGAGAGAGAGAGAATCCCAAGCAGGCTCAGCACAGAGCCTTTCGTAGGCTCCATCCCTCCAAAGGGGCCATCAGAAAGGTGAGAACATGACCTGAGCTGAAATCAAGACTCGGATGCTTAAAGACTGAGCCATCCAGGCACCACAAAGGTTTGGATTTTGAAGCTGAGTAGGGGCACAGGCTCAGAGTCCCGCAAGTGAGCTGAGTAAATTTAGACTTGTAGATCTATGACAAATGTCTATCTAGAGCCACTGCTGAAAGTCCCTTAAAGGGGCAGAAAAGCAGAGGCTCCAGGGCACATGGTACAGACTCTAGAAAGGGGTCAGTGTTTTGTTTGTCTGCCTAGATTTGCAAGCTGGTAATTCCTGTGCCATTTATTTGCTCCAGGCCTTGGTGTCTGCTTTTATTTTGATTAGCTCTATTAAGGGAGAGGGAGAGGCAGAGAGTGAGGTGATAAGCACACCAATCTTGCAGCCTTTCCTGCCTGGGTTTGATGCCCACTCCACCCCTTTATTAGTTTTCAAGAGTTAGGTTACCAAAGTACCACGGACTACGTGGCTTAAACCACAGAAGTTTAGGGCCGCCTGGGTGGCTCAGTCAGCTAAGTCGCCGACTTCAGCTCAGGTCATGATCTCACAGTGCGTGAATTCTGTGCTGACAGCGCAGAGCCTGGAGCCCGCTTCCCCTTCTGTGTCTCCCTCTCTCTCTCTGCCCCTCCCCTGCTCTCTCTCTCTCAAAAATAAATAAACATTAAAAAAAATTTTTTTAAGGAAGTTTATTTTCACAGTTTTGGAGGCCGGAAGTCTGAGATCAAAATGTCAGCTGACTTGGTTCCTTCTGAAGACTATAAGGGAGAATCTATTTCATGCCTCTCCTCTAGCTTCTGGATGGTTTTGCTGGCAATTTTTGGTATCCTTGGCTTGTAGAAGCATCTGTTCCATCTCTGCCTTCACCTTCCCATGGCCTCCTCCTTGTGTGCATATCTGTGTCCAAATTTCCCCTCTTTATAAGGACACTAGTCATACTGGATTAGGGACCCACCCTATTCTAATATGGCCTCATCTTAATTGAACTAATTACAGCTGTAATGGACCTATTTCCAAATAAAGTTATATTCTGAGGTACTGGGGGGTGAGGTTTCAACATATGGATTTATGAATTAATAATTCAATATATGATTTCTTATAAAACTCTATAAATTATAATAACCCCTTATTAAACTGTGTGAATGTAGGCAAGATCCCTTTGTGTTTTAGTTCCCTCATCCGTAAAATGCAGTGGTGAAAACTTCTTGCCTCCCTTATAGAGTTTGAAGAAGTATTACATTAGTAAATATATAGAAAACACTTAAACGAGTTCTTGGCACAGAATAAACGTTAAATAAATGCTTATTAATACAGATACTAAATGAAAAAAATTAAGGCACATTTTTTACTAACACAGGGGTCTTGCTTAGCTCTTTTTTTAGAAAACTAACTTTTTAGAAGGACTTTTAGCACATTTATGATACAATGCAAATTAACCTTGTACATTTAAGTCTCTGATTGGCCAACCTAAAAACTTCATGACTAGTGTAACATTTTGTTGTAATGATTTGAAAGATCCAATTCAACAATAAAGTAAAAGGTTAATTGCTCAAAAGAAGAAATTGAAAAAAACATATATTGTCCCAGGAAACTACTATACTGCTGTGCATTATAGTGGTTCCTCTCCAGGCCCTCTGTGTTTGTGTTCATAATGTGACCATCTGGATACCCACTGCTGTTAGCCACAGGTGAAGGGCACAGTATTTCACATTTTTGCAGTTGTGATTGTCAGTAATTAACCTGAGGGGGCTAACTCGAACTGATTCTGCTGGTTAAAGGTCAAGAGTTGGAGGTCACAGTGATAAGAAACAGTGTTTTGCCTTCTAAGCACCACCATATACACTCACTTGATACAAGTGACTTACTGACCATATACACTCACTTGATACAACATTCTTTTGTGACTTGTCAGGAATGTAATTTGAATAATATTATACTATTTAGAACACGATCAATTAAAATTAATAAGGTATTTTTATAGAGTAAGTTAGGAATATTGAAGTCACATGAAGTGTTTCACTCATTATTATTTTAATTAATTATATTTAAAATCTCTTGAAAAATTAGGGGCCCTTATCTTCTTACAGAATTAACATTCTGTGACAGTCTATGGCAGGCTTCAACAAAGAGATTCCATGGAAAAATACCAGTGGAATGAGAATGAATTAGTAAGGCCCAGAATGAGGTCAAGTGAAAAAACAAAAAAATCATTATAATCCTTACAATAAGAAGCCATACCATACAGGAATAAATGGTCCATAAAGAAAGGAGCTTGAATAGCAAAAAAAACCACAAAAACAAAAACGAAAAACGGGGGGCGG